TACATATATACCATCAAAGATAATCATATATTTTTTCTTTTATAACTATTTTAGTACAGCATAATATTTTGACTGTGAAGTATATTTATTTTTTGGCTTTGGTATAAATCTATTAAAATTAAATACAAAATCATGATTATAGAAGTATATACAACCAACGAAAATTAAATTGTTGTACTTTAGTTATGGTAATGAATATTTCCCGAAATTCAAGTTTTAATCTAAAAACTCGAACTGTAATCTTTCCAAAAAAAAAATAAAAAAATATCCAATTTGTAATCTATCAAAATACCTGTCTAAACATTATACATTCAAGGGTATCCTCGAGCGAAAATATCATACTGTCAAAAATACCAAGAAGAATGAACTTGACCGATGTCTATATTTCCTTCAAATGCTGAAATCAAAATGTTGTTACAGGTCTAAAATAATAAAGTAAAATATCTATACGAGTATACAATATAGAAAATATGTTATTATTTTAATAGAATTTTTTTTTCTCAAAGTAATATTTTTGTCGTGCACTTTAGTACAACTTGAAAAAATAAAAATTTACGATTACACATAAGTTTGATACATAAATATGATTAAGTAATCAATAAACTTGTTTTTTAGCTGTAGTAAGCGGATTTCACATTATTATTGAATTCGGATTTCGCATTATTATTGAATTATTTTTCGGTCACCACACGAATAGGCACGTTGGATCCATTTTTTGTTTTACGGTCAGGTTTATAATACGGTGTTTCAACATCCCCGACGTGAAGGATACGCTCGGGAAACAATTATTTATCGGCAGCATTACGTACGCAGCGGACGTTGTGTTGAAATTATATATGTATGATATTCTTACAAATCAGATACAAGCGTAGCCCGATGGTATGTTTAAATCCCTATCGGGAACGATACGACGGCCACGCAATGCACGGGTGTGAAATCAAATTTAAATTCGTGTAATATTATAGATACTTTATTCGCACCTGAGTAAAACCGCCTTTGATCGATGAATTGAAACGAACCCACTGGAAATCGTTCAATCAAAGCACCATTGCGTTACCGATGGGCGTGCGAGTCTGCTTCACGGTGTTATAGTTTCCGCACAACTTCCTGGGTACGACTTTTACCAACCGACTACACACGTACCGTGAATCCATCTCGTCCGCGATCCATTTCGATCCTTCGTATCTATTCGCTATCGACTTATCGTATTTAGGTTGAGATAGCAATTTGTTAAATTTTTAAAATAGTAACGATTTTAAACAGTCGCAAAAGGAATCACTGAAATGCGCTATATTGATACAAATAAGTTAAGCGTCTGGAACAATTCGTTTTTCAGAAGCAGAAACAGTTTTACGTTTTAATATTAATCGTAGACGAGCCATGAGCAAATCACTGATTCTGACATTACGAGTATCTATTTAAACCCGTCTCGGATGGGTGACCAGCCGAAAATTATAAGCGACACACCACGCGCCGTGTCGCATAACTTTTAAATTAAATTTTCTTGTAACTATCACAACAAAATGGAATCGGACCATAAATCTCCTTATCTTAAGAAGAAAAAATATTTGCATAAAACGGAGGAGAATCTTTTTTGAAATCGACCCGCAAACTAGGTCATAAAAAAATCGATACGGAATCAAAACTTCTGAATCCATCGGTTCCGATGAAAAATTAATATGAGGTAACGAAAATGTATTAAAAGGTTTCTTAAACATTAATAACAGTATAAAACAAAACAATAAATAAACATTTTGCTTTAATTATATATAATTACTATTATAGTTTATTATCATATACTATTTTTCATCGACGATTGTCTTATAAATAACTTACCATAACATTTTTCACTAAACATATTATTATCAAATTGCATACGGAGATAAATAGTGGAATTATAATATATTTTACCCCTCCATATTTTACGTTTATAATAAACCTTTGAAATATAATACACAAAAAACTATGTTAAAACCGCATTGTATAAATGTGGATATAAAGCAAATATAATTGTAAATTTGCTTTAATCAGATTTCAATTTTATTTGATAATTAATGAGAAATTGAAGAGTTCCCTTTTAATTAATAATCAGCATATTTTTGTTAATAAAAAAAAATGGTATCCATCGTTCATAATACCTCTCATATACCTTCACATACCTCTCTCTCACCCACTGCTATTGAATTTCCCCTTTATTTTTCATTGTTTAGAGTGCACGACCATACAATCCTTATAGTTACTCAACAGAAAATTTACCATTTCCAATGAATCCAATAAATTAAAATTTTTATTTCGGTGACAAATATTCACGTAAACTAATTCTTAATAATTTATAAAATACCGTAAGTATTCTTCAAGGAATGCGTCTCGGAGTCGGGAAGAAATAAAAACAATAATTATACAGGTGGTATGTTTTAATATTACCAGGATAGGTCCATATGGTTACCAAATAAAAACTCGGCGAGCCACGTGCAAAATGCACACTATTAATTTAAAACAATTCAAATAACAGGGAAAGTATGTTTATTTTTAAGAACTAAAGGAACGGGAAGGTAATTAATAGTACCGGATACCAGTAATCTTTGCTATCCAACGCTGAGTAGGTACAGTTAGATAAATAAAAGAACATTGTGTACGACTGGTTCACAAGCATGATATTCAACGAGATTTATGTAGAGGAATATGTTGTATTGTTAAACATATACCTGCCACCATAATGTACATCGAAAGCCCAATCCATTTCCACATCAAACGGATTTCGTTTTATAGAATATCTTGTATACGTGATATTTTATCAGTTTGGGCGCTACTGAGATGTTTTACTCATATTTTTACTTTTATAAAAAGTTCATTTTTACTACGCTTGTATTATATTTATATCCATTATTTTTTCTACAATAAATATTTGTATTTCTTATAAAAATAATTTATAAATGGGCTCTGAACCTTTTCAATTAAATCTACAAAAATAACACGCATTCAGATAAAATCCTTTATCGCTATCCAATGGGCAATATGTACAACTCTGGGATTGGTGGAGGTGCCGAGATAAAAGTAAACATGCTCGTTGGTTCGTGTGCACTTTTCGAAAATATTTTTATTGATATTTTTATATATTTGCTTAAAATATATTATTTTCAAACGCTAACCGATTTTGAACTTAAAAAGCGCAATATTGTTGTAACGAGAAAATCTGGTACCCTGTGTTAACCTATTTACTCATTGTATTATGTCATGTATACAGATTGTAAATATAGTTTATACAAAAAAAAATACATATAAGTATAAAACGAGAAAATCATTTTTATTTCGATACAATATTGTTCCTATTTGATTTCAATATTGTTGATAAACTCTGTTGGTTGCGAACAAATATTTTTGATCTCGAATTTAAAATGTTAAGTTCTGCGCTATTTGCTAACTTGAATGTATCCATTATTGATAAGAACATAAGCTTTCAAGATCTAATAGCAAATTTACGTGTAATTATTACCTATTATTAAGTTCACTGGTGTTTGATAATTAACTCCGTGTGGTTTACCACATAGATGCGCTCCGTTAATATTACTATATAAGCCGACCAAAGCACATCCTTAACAGAAAATTACATAATATATATATATATATATATATATATATATCATGATTAAAATATATCTAGTACATATAAATCGGTCTCGAAGTGGAGTTCGATTGCAAAGCACAATATAAATACTATATTTCATATAGTTCAATTCATACTATCAACTCGAACGAAACTAATTTCATTTAACTGCTCCAACCAAATTACAATAAGATAATTATTACATTTTTATTCGTCCATTAATATTCTTTTTTTAAAAAAATATATTTAAAACAGTTATTCCTATGTAATTTTTAAATGAAAATCATTCATTCGTCCTATATTTAATATAAATGAATTTAAAATCCGGAAGGTTTTAAAAAGTGTCAAAGAGTATTATTTTTAATTGCTTTTTAAGCATTTTGAAAAGAATATTTATTATTCCTTATTCTAGCGTGTTCACGGTATTCAACATATAGCTATTTCTTCCGCACTACTCGTTAGCCATCCGCTAAAAACACTCCAGTCCGGTGTACAATAATAATTCATTCCCATATCCTTTTTAAACTGATATATGTACGGCATTCCTTCTCATCTTAAAAGTACATTTACCTACCACGTGTTCAATCAAATGATGCAGTTTCCACTGTATCCCATATAAAGTAACTCGCACGACCAATCATCATTTCTCGTATATATATATATATTCATTGTGTGTCTCATCAAAGTTCATATTTCATCGATTGAAATCAATAACTCTACGTGTCGTTTTTTTCGGCTAAACTATTCGTTTGATGCTATTCCAGTGACGTATTTCCAATAAGCTCTGAAGTGGGCACGTCGGTTAATCTCTATTATTATGGTATTTACATTATATTAAAATGTTTTCTTCCGTTCGTTTGATTGCGAAACATCTAATCTCAACTGTGTAATAATATTGAAGAATAAGAGCAGTTGATTAGCCAAATTAAATTATACTTTACTTTGATTTATGTATAAAATAAAAATAAAAACATCTGTCGGGCGTTAGTTAGAGGGAGCGAGAGATATGGAAAAAAGTAAACATTAATTTAAAAAACGAGTACACACTTCAAAAACATTAAATACTTTGAACGTTTTTGAGCTATTTATAAACTTTGGTAGATTGTTTTCTATCTTAAATGAAAAAAATTCGTTTTACTTCACATTTTTTCATTAAAATATATTCATCAAATATAAACATAAAAATAAAATAAAATATGACCTTTGCTTCTCATCATAAGTTCACAAACGTTTAAGCCTTACCATACAGTATTACACTATTACTATGTTATTATACTATTGCGACGGCGTTCATAATTTATTTGAATGTTGTTGAATAATTACGATTACCAATAAATAATTTATGTACAAATAAAAAATGAATAAAAACAATTATAATCGTATTTATTTTTTTCAGACTGAAGTTAACATTTTCATGCATGATGGACCTATCTAAATTTCCATTGGATAACCAGGTTTGCACGATGGAGGTTGCTAGCTGTAAGTTTTGTAATCATATTTTACTGTAATATGGTTTTTTTGATAAAAAAAACATGTGTTGCAAAAAATGCGAATTCTCGACTCAAAACCAAATGTACAAATTATAATTTAACATTTATGATTCGTGAAATACGTTTCAACTGTCACTGAAATAATCAGTATCGGTCTGGTCCACACAGAAACCAATGGAACATTCCCTCGGGCCCTTACCATATGTCAAATCTACATCCGTAGAGGATTATCATTGGTTTTCTCATTGTGCCGTTATATAAATCATTAGATAATTATTACAATCGAATGTTGTGTAAAAAAAAATGTATAATTTTTTTTTATGTGTTTAACCAGCGGTGAATGTTATAAATTATATTGTTTTACCACTATTATCGGATTCCAACTCCGCTAAATAGAAATTTTTGCCAACACTATAACCTCCACACGTTTATTATAAAAACATTCCTACAATCTGTTCTAAACATTATTATCATCATCAGTACACCAAATCGACAGTAAAAATATAAATCACTGTACTCTAGAAATATTCCTGTGTTATAATATTAATAGTTAAACGAAATTTTAATTTAATCGATAACCGTTAAAATTTATCTGATTAACAAAAAAATTTGTTGAGTACAATTTTTAAATAACAGTAGTAAATATAATTTTTTGTTATGATTTTTTAATAAAAAAATAAAAATTCGATTATATGATCTAGACCAAATTTTTTCAATATATTTTTCATATTATATTTTTTTGAGAAAACATTCTGCTAGAAAACAATGGCCAATAAAAATAAATTTATATTTATTTTTATTGAGGAAGATACATGATTTATTTTAACAATAGCTTTGAATTATATTATTTTAATTTCTTAATTTTATTTAAGTTTAAAAATATATTCCTATATAATTGTTTTTTCTATCATATAAATGGGCTATAAAAAAGAAAAAATCAACTGCATAAATACTTGAAAATCAACAGTAAAAATATAAAATGTTGAATTCATATTTCTTACCGATTAACTGAACTCGATATTAAAAAAGAGTTACATACGTCAAAACTGCATGAATATCTGAATAATTTAGCTTAATTTATATTTCATATTTATTTTATTAATAACACCATAGTTATATATCAAATAACATGATTTTCAATCTAAAAGAAGAAATAAAAATAATTTTCTTTCGGTGAATATGGATATTTGAATAATATATTACCCAGTTAAATGGTTCTTTACTATGAAAAATGATAAATTACAACTGATTAATGTATACGTAAATATATGACTAATATTAGAGGTATTTTTTTTCTAAATTGCATCATGTCAAATGGTATTAAAAGAAAAAAAAATCGTAATTTAATTCAAAATTAATAATCCTGAATAATTTGGAAAACAGATTTTCTTCACTGTTTTCCTTATAAACCACACAATTTCATCTAATTGACGGTAACATATTGTAGCATCACACATAAGTGCTGGCGCTGAGTATATATATATATATATATATATATATATATATATATATAAGGTTTAATATACTCTACCATCATCCGTCACGAGTATTTATTATACATCGAATTCGAGTGGAAAAATATGCAGCATTCGATAAAGGTTTCGGACAAATTTCGATTTCGTGTACTCGTATTAACGATTTCAAATCATATAAGGTGTCCGTTTTCCATCGTCACCACGTCACTGCAGTCACGATTTGTTGTACCACGATAAATTATGCGTGAAAAATGTAACCATGAGTCCAGTAACTGTATGTAAACTTTGAATTCAGTGGAAGAAGCGGACAGCTACAAAAAAAAAACAAGAGCGTCTAGAGACAGCGCCTCTTATCTGCACTATTATTATCAGTATTACACTATCACTACAGTTGCCTTATCACATAATCGGTTGATTACATTTAAATATTATATTTAAACAAACAGCCATAATTTTATATTATTTAATAATTATATTAATTGTAATATATTAATTATTTAGTATTATTAATGTATATAGTACAAACTACAATGTCATCAAGTGAAGAATTAGAAGTAATAAATTTAAAATTTTGTTCTCTTCAAGGTAATTATTTAAAAAATTCATAATAATATGTAAAACCAGTCTTGTTTGTAAAGTATTTGTAAATTATTTGAATATATATTCTCTCATATACTCATTACCACCCAATCCAAAACTGTCAAATATTAGCGGGGCAAAAAATATTATATTCTAATAATCTTATAGTATTTAAATACAAAATAAAAGTATTTTTCACAAGACTACAAGACTAAACTGTGTAAGATATCTATATTCAATTAAAATGTACTGTAGAGTGAATCTTGTATGTATTATATTCAATTACTTAAGAAACTAAAGTACTAAATTATATTTTGAAATTATACCTATATAATATTTACTTATTATTATAATTATAGGTAAAATTGAAAGTAGAATCCCACCAAATGTAATAATTAATCAGTTACGAAATAAAACTGATTATAATATTGAAAAAAAAATATTACAAGGAAAGACATATATAACATTTCTAATTCTTTACTTGATGACATTGTACTTTGTAATATATAAATTAATTATACTATATAATTAATATAATTATTAAATAATATAAACTCCATGACTGTTTGTTTAAATATAATCAACCGATTATATGATAAGGCAACTGTAGTGATAGTGTAATTACTGATAATAATAGTGCAGATAAGAAGAACTGTTTCTAGATGCTCTTAAAAAAAACCCCCCCCATCAATCTTTATCAAATAACTTATCACATTATTATTATCCGTATTATGATGTTATACAATAGTATGCACCTTAAAACTTATAAGATAAAAACGAATGAATACGACGACTACAAACGATCATAACTTGAAAATGAAATTTGACCGATAAATCTCATTTTTGTTTTTAACAAATATTAATTCTACGCATAACTTAACAGACTTAAAGCGCAATCGGTGCAGTGTATGATAGATTGTAAGTGTATTATAATACACTGGCTCCGAAGTAGTTGTATGCGCGTATGGTGCACAAAGGACGCGGTTCCTGTATTTATTACGGCCAAAGTACGTATCGTGTGAGAAGTATTACAGTTTCAAAATAGTTATGAACAATAATAAACGAAAAATTCAAAAAATGCTTGTAAATCGTGTGGAAATTTTAAAAAATTCAAAAACTTCATACGCCACCAGCACGGTCAATTGACTGTGATAAAAATATTATGTACGCTCGTCTAAATACTGTACTCGAATACGTCTTTATTGAATGTAAACGTGCAATTTTTTTTCTGTTTCGATCAAATATATTTCGAAACGTTTTTCTCTCGTTGTTTACTGGGCTTACTGCACTCAAAAAGAGTACTTAACAGAAGTATTTTCTATTCTTAAAATATCTGACCGTATTCCAAAGTTGTTCTCCTTCTCGACTTTTACTCATAAGTGCCTTTTTATAGCGTCCAATGTTGATTCTTCACCGTGCTTATAGTGTACTGAAGTTTCAGTTTTATTGCCGTTCATATATCAGTTCCAGAAAACATAGGTCAGACGACTCGAAGACCGATCTATGTGTCATGTTATAACATTATAATAAACAGACATGTTGGAACTCAAAAAAAATAGACTATGCAATAACGCAATTTGGTTTGTATAATCATCCACACACTTGATACATTTCGTAACAATTTTGTAACAAGGAATAATATTTGCATTTGGAAGTAAAAGAATAAACGAGTTTGGGGATAGTTGGTTCCGAGTTGTTGATTGAAGCGCACGGTTGATTACAGTCCTGTTATTCGGCTGTTCGGACGTGAGATTCGTGGCTGATCGAGTAGCTTTGAATGCGGCTACGGGGTCAATTAACTATGTTGCACTTGTGTGGTCGAAGAAAAATAGGCATCGACACATGTCGACAGTTCAATAACAGTGGAATGGGGAAAAATACGAACATTCGGAAGAATATAACCTTACATTTTCGATGTAAGCAGTCCGGTATATTCGGCACACGAGTAACAGCATCCGAATGGAAAACATAAACACCAAAATGAGATAAGAAAAATATATTCGTATCGTAAGAAAGTGTCAAAATCCTTTTTTTTTTTTTGCGTTTCCTCCGTTTTTGCAAATTTAATTTCTGTCCCACAATTAACCAATTTATCGATTACATTGGAAACATACTGAAACATTGATTCTAGTATGTTTCCTTCTAAAATGTGAGCTGAATTTCCGGACAATGAGATAATACGAATTACGAGTACAAATGTAGCTAAATCATATTATCAACATTTATAAGATCAATTTTATATGGCTGTTTCGTTCATATAGTAATCGATGTATTATTAAAATTACAAAGCGAAAACTATTTATTTATGAATTCTTCTTCTAATAAAAAATTAGAAATATTTCACGAAGACATAATTGTAAAATTGAAGAATTAGGTGTCAGTATGGTGGTATAAGTCATTTAGAATAGTGAACAAATTTGATTAAAAAACCAACCAATTTATAAAAATTATATTTATTTTCATTGATTTTTATGCATATTATATTTTAATGATTATCGATAAATATTTTGAAATACTTATATCAAATACATAAAATATTAGTTAGGCACGTAATTGAGTATAACAACGATTGGATCATACAGATTGCATAACCTTATCAGAGCCAGCATTGACTTTGGTGTCCTGAAAAGAGAAGATTAAACTGACTGATACGAATCTAACTAACAATCGATAACCGAATAGATCCATTAGCCTGATAGGTCTCATAGAGTCGTGAGTTGTATCACCCATGGAGTCATGACTTTTATCTTGATCGATTGATAGTAGTGCTCCGGCTATGTCTACGAGAAAAAAATATCACCCGTTCCGTACATCCTGTTGGGCTACAACTATAGTGATTCGAGGCTATTTGCGCTGGAACAGCTTCTTGGATTATCGTTGTTAATGTCTACTGCAAACGAAACGGCTTGTACTGATATCGGCCCCGCCCTTTTATCTACATCGTACACGACCTTTGGACATTTCCCGGTCGCACTGCGCAACAATGTTCTGCGTGAAATTACTCACGGCGTGCGTGCACAAAACAAATAAACTTTTCGGCATCACAAATCCGAAACCGCAACACAGTGTGCAATGTTCTTTCGCAACACGATTGCCAACGTGTTATTTACTTATATTGCGTGCCAGATAATCACAGACCCATTTGCTCGGTGAAACAATCTTTAGCATAATATCTTGCAAAATAATTGACAAATAATCGAATTGATCGACTAATTAAGGTATAATTATAATAAAGCCAAGCTTTCTAAAATCGGATTGATGGACACGTTGTTTAAACGGTGAACGTGAAACTTATTGCATCATCCAAAGATATATACCACCATCTAAATAAGTTAATTTAGTAAACGCAAACATGTATACGTATGTGTATGTACATACATGTTACATACGCTTACGCGTATGCGTGTAGAGTTGTGGTGAACAATTTAATACCAAAACCGAGATGCACAACACGTCAAATTTAATCCCGTTAACAAACAATGCAAAGTTATCAAGAGAAAGGGCAATTTTCCCTATACCAAACCTTCAAACATTGTAAACTAAGATTTGAAAAGGATTAAATTGCTGTTTTCGATCTTTATTGGATATAATAGACTTTATGTCAAAACGTTACTTACGGCTACGAGCACATAAAGTTTAAAATAAATTTTACCGATAAGCTATCGACATTATCGTCGGAGTAATAGGATAAGTCGAGAAATGCAAAAATATATAATTCTCCTTCGGTTCCGAGGCTTGAACTTTAGAAAATATTATTAGTTCACATTTTTTTTTTTTTTTTTTTTTATCACTGCTTATATGTATTAAAATATTCTTCGTTCATTTATTAAGCATGTTTATTCAATTATATTTTAACCGCACGTAAAATAAGGAAAATATTATTTTATGAAATATAATAAGCAGCATATTTAAAAGATATAACAATGTATGATTATTAGATTATTCGGAATGATTTAAATCGTTTATTTCAAATTAATAAACAGAAAAAATATACAAAATGACATTAAATACTAATTAAAATTTTAAATTAAAATAACTTAAAAATGCAAACTTTGAGTCTTTAATGTTGTTCACATAATTCAGTTTGTTACCACATTATTACATTTATGGTACCACTAAATGTATAATACGAAGCGAAGTATTTATTTTTCGCTTTTATTTTATCATACAACTGTAGATTACCAATTACATAAAGTAAAATTTAAAAAATATAATACACAGTTCACGTTTTGCTCGGATAAACTAAAAGATACCTATTAAAGTTTTAATAACTAAATGGTTTAAAACCGTAATATTCGTAATTTATGCAATATAAACTTAGGTATATTTTTCATAATGTCTCCGACCGCATTTTAAATTTACATTAACATGAATTGAAGTTATGCGGAACCCAAACGTTGCGGTCCCAATAACATTCCACTACATAAATCCATTGACTATTTGACCGAGAACAAAGCATTCCAGCAACAGTTTAGTAGAAAGCCCATATAATCAACATTTTGTTTCATTGACAGTAAGAGACCGATATGATTTCGGTAAATACTTTTATATTATCGCAACGAACTACAAAAATAGTCTAAGTATATTAATTTTAGTTTTAACAACGTATACATGGCTAAATAGTAAATATTAAGTAAATTACCAGTAAAAATTACACGCACTGTTTAGTTGATTTATACACATCATTATCCTTTATAGTTTCTAAGACTATCGAAGAGCTTCGGTTGGAATGGAAAAATACTGATCCCGTATTGATGGCCAGAGGATTAAGAATGCCTCAATTCGAAATTGTAGACATCGTGCCCTCCGACTGTCAAGAATCATTTCAAATAGGTATGTATTATACTTAATGTATTATTATAAAAACGTATATAACTGTAGATCTCGTATTATTAATAATACAATATTGACACTTATTTTATTCAATTCGCGTGAAACACTTTTAATCGCAATATTTTAAATTTCAAACAAACTTTCCTTATTTTCTATTTAGTAAAAATATTTTAATTTTTTTTTTTTTTTATTCTGATAATTAAATCAAAACTTACGTGTTTCCCGTGCTTCTGGGAAGTTCTAATGTCAAAATAAAGTCAAACGATTAATCCTATAGCCTGAAAATGTTCAAATTTTTCATTATTTACCGTTATCTTATATTAATAATAGTATAGTATAGTACCTGCTATATTTTTAATCCATAACTATTGTTGCTAATAATTAACATTATTTATATACTGATACTTCGTTTGAAATAAAACAATTTATGCATTTCATATCGAATTAAAATTTTACCTATCAATTATAATATACTTGACGAGTAATGAATAATGGAATGAACAAATATTACATAAATATCATTACACAAACAATATAGTAAGAAAAACTTTACTGTACTTTACGAACACACCTTATTATTTTTGTGTCTAAAATAATGAAATATAGACATCAATTAAAGTCGCATCGCATAAATAAATGCAAAATGTTTAAATTGACATCAAACTATAGCACGGTGAGTACGGCATCTAAACAACGTACCTACCTATTGCAATAATGAATATACTGTGACTGCTACGCATGAAATAATAAACTAGATAGATTTACATGACCGTAACAGAACGTTTGATTAATTTATTGAATCAATAAATAATAAAACAATGATGACTCTAGGGTAAGTCAGAAATATGTTTAATTAAATTATTGATGATGATAATAATAATGATAATAGGTACCATCATTGATAAATTAAGAATGTTACAGTACGCAATGAACAAATTCAATGCAGTAGAAAATCTAAAATGTATCAATTTGACGCTGTGACTACCGGAAATGCTGCTTTAAAATTCAAAATAATAGCGATTATGGGAACACACTGATGTTTTTATTTTCTCAACAATTTAGATTTATTAATAAGAAAGATTATTTTCTTGCTTTTTTTTCCTAAGGCTACGAATTGTATTTCGTTTGTTCGACAAAATACTAAACATTTTCATTCAATACAAAAATAATAAAACTCCAATAATGCCCATTCAAGAATCAAAAAAATTACAGCAATTCTATTTTTATTCTACGTCATAGCGAACAATTACCTTATAATTATAAAATTAAAAACAAAATAGCAATGAGATAAAATCCACTTTCTTTGATGGTGTGCCGTCGAATTTTTCAAAGCATAAACTATTACTAATTTGACAATTCCTTTTATTTAATTCTATAATAATTGAGTTCAAAGAATATGCAAAAGGCTATATTGCATATTCTTTGTAGTCATTAATAATAGGAAAAACTTATGTTTCAACAATATATATTATCATTAGTTTAACACGCCGCATCGTGGACCTTTTAATAAGCAAACGAGCAAAATAACAAGAGAACAATTGGCCAAAATTCTATAAGCAAGATATTATTACCACTTTTGAGTATTATAAAACGTAATAGCTACTAGGCGGGTGTGACAAATTATTTCACCACCTCTTTTGATTTAAAACAATCCTCGAGAAATTATTCTAGATATGAACTTTTAATATTAAATTAAATTCCAATTTCAAAATGTTCGTTAAAACACACTAGATGAAAAAAAGTCGAAAAACCAAAAAACGTTAATTTTTTATTCTATTAAATGTTTTTACACGGTTTATATAAATTTCAAGTCGGCTGAATGAAATCGATTGAAATAAGTCATATTTGCAGTGCACAACATGTACTTTTTGAAAAATTTAAATTAATACTAGAATATATGTATGTATATATACGAAAAACATGATCAGTTTAAAAACTAACTCAATGAGTTTACGAAAACAAGTATATTTAGACAAGCAGAACATCAATACATTTATAAGTTAAGACATATTATTATTTATCCAGTACATACCTTAAAACACTTATTTAATCATTATACGTGAAGGAACTACCAAAACTTATGAAAACCCGATTTTTTGCTGTTTAAACATACATTTTAATAATGCCGTAATTAATATTTTAAAACGTAACGTGATCCGCGTAATAGCACTGAGAAAAAAAATATCCAACAGATTATAATTCAACAATTTCAATTTAAACGTCACGTAATATTGGTAGATTCACGCGCGTATATAATTCGAAATGTCATAAATTGTTCGCGTATGCCCATGCTCAACACATTTACAACAGCTTTCGGATTCACTAGCAGCATCCAAATCGATCGCGCACAAATAGGGCGTGTTGTGAAAGACCTACAATATATTAATCTCGCTGAACGAGCGTGCTGTATAACGGTGCATATCGATGATAAATCCGAATTAGAACTACCTATAATTGTATTCAAAATTTATTGAATTGTCTCAGAAAATAGAGACCATTGAAAGATACGGAAATAATTGTTTTGTTTATTTCGTAGAATTAAAATATAGGCACGAAGATGAATACGCAATAAGAGTCGACCATTATTCATATCTAGTCCCTGCGATTTCGTATTCTGTTATTTTCATTAATCGCCTGGATATTAGTATTTACATACAAATCTATACTTCTGGACGGACAATAAAACGATCGGGAGACCCAATAGAGTTTTCACACGAATATTCCAAAATAAATGTGAAAAAAAATTACAAAAATTATGATAATATATTAAAAACTTTTCTGCTGTAACAATGATGTGTTCAGTGTACGTACAAGCGAAAATTATAAACAGCAATGTGATGATATTCGACATGTTACTGGTATACAATAATATTTATTTACGATTTATTTCCCCTAAAATTAATTCATAAAACTACGTTCAACATAACCAAGGGATCAACTCTTGTTTAACAGACAACGCAATGTTTAGCAGTATAATATAATTATTTCAGCAATAGTTTTGCAATAGTAAAATTTACCTTCAAATTGTCAGTGAGGCACGCATCATATAATATTATGTAAGTACCTGAAAAGTGAAAAATAAAATAATGTTGAACGTTTTTTTTTTACAATTAAAAGCAAATATAAAAATAAATGTGTGTTTTATTTTGCTAACCTCGAGATATAAATAGATGTTATGAAAAATAATGCAATTTTATAACATGAGAATTCCATTAAACAAAAATAATAATTTTAAATTAGTTTATTAATTTTTAAGTATTTTATTGTGCTTTGCATTTTAAAAATGTTAGACGTAAAAATATCATACTGGTTATGTTTGTACTATTTACAGTGATAAAAATCAAAATACAATTAACCTATATAGAAAAATATCCCAATATATGTATATAAAAATAAAAATAAACACTTAAACAGTTACTTAATTTATATCAACAAAAATTACAAACCAAAAACGTCAAAATGATTTATTCACCTTGAACGTTTGGAAAATATATTTTTTTTTTTATTATTTTACATTTATATAAAGATATTTTTTCATAGATCTTACGCTTGTAATTTTTTAAATATTTTAATATATTTTAATTCCTATTTTCAAAGAATAACAATGTCTATTGATTTCTTATTAAAATACACTAATTTACATAGGCACCGCGAGAGGAGTGCAATGGGATGCACTTGCACCCTGTGGAAAAAAAAATTAAATTCAAAAATGTAAGATAGAGGCTATCATTATCACTATCCAGTGGCGGATAGGCATACATTTTTTTTACCGGGAAGGAATTAGAAGGGCCTAAATAGGCTAGGGCCCATAAAAAATAAGCCGCTCGCAACATATTATTATATTACAATATAATATACAGTGAGTTCCGCTTAATGTGATCACTGGTTTATAGAATCAACCGTTTATTAGAATCAAAAATGAAAATCCCAAACCAAATTGTATGCTACTAATGTTAAATTGACCTTTTATTAGAATCACTAAGTACCGGATAATTGAATCACTTTTATGAAAAATCTTATCGTTTTTATGGTATCTCAAACTGATTAATTTATAAAAACCATTTTATTTTTGAATTTATCAGTATTATTGTATATCGTTGTACATTATGTCAATCAATTATCTTTGTACGTCGCGGCGTCGTGTACTTGTGTCATTTAGTTTATTCGGTTTATTGTTCACGTTCAGACGTATTTTTTGAAATGTCGACCAAACGAAATGATTTAACTATAAAAGAAAAAAAAGATATACTCGTTCGTTTTGATAAATTGGATAAATGTTCTCAAAGAGAAGCCGCATTAGCTCTGAAAATTCCTCAACCAACGTTAAACAAAATTTTAAAAAATCGTAAGGAAATTGTTGAACATGAAGAACAAAATTTGCCTTTTTCTCGAAAACGAAAACGAATAGAGCAAAATGTTGATGTAGAAGAATCTTTATTACGATGGTTTCAGCAAGCTAGAAATTTAAATGTATCGGTCAATAATTCTATTTTACAAAAAAAATCTATAAATTTAGCTTTGCAATTAGGTGTAGACAATTTTAGTCCAACTATCGGGTGGTTGACTCGTTGGAAAAACAGAAACAATATTGTTTTTAAAAAAACATGTGGAGAAAAAAAAGATGCAGATTTTCAAGCTGCAGAAGATTACTTAAAGAATTGTATTGCATCGTCTAATTATGCACCTGATGACGTATATAATTCAGACGAAACTGGTTTGTATTATCGAGCTCTACCAGATTCTATTTTTGATTTTAAAGGGACTATGGTTAATGGATGTAAAAAACAAATGCAAAGACTTACGATTCTGCTGGTTTGCAACATGTCAGGTACGGATAAAAGGCGTCCTTTAATTATTGGTAAAAGTAAAAATCCACGCTGTTTTCGAGGCGTTAAAACATTACCCGTCGATTATAAAGCTAATTCAAACGCTTGGATGACTAGTCTAATTTTTACCGAATTTTTACGAAAATGGGACAAAAAAATAAAAAAGCAAGACGT